AAAATGCAATAGTTCAATGCACTAGATGCCAAAAATACGGGCACCCAAAATCTTACTGCATGAGACCATTATCTTGGGATAAATGCGGAGGAGCACATGACACAAAAGCCTGTAATAAAACACACTTGCAAACACTTGCAAAGGCAACCATCCAGATAACTATAAAGGGTGTGCTATATATACAGACCTAATAAACTCGATTATTTTGGCTTAGTATTTGCTCAGTCAATGTTAGTGACCGTCTTTTTATAAACTATCGGCTCTGTCTCTGTCCTGAAGTATTTTTATTATTAACTGCTTTGTGCACGTTCTAATGGCTATTTCTGTGGCACCATAGGCCAGTTATAGTTTATAAGCCTATTTGGGCTAATGGGTTTACCAAAGTGTTTCCTATCTAAATTCTTAATCAGGGTCCTACAGTTCCTCTCGTTGTTTTGTTCCATGTTATATTTCTAGCCATAGTTCCACTGTTGCATTTTAGGTCATTAAGACCTAATATACCCCACCAGATAATATCTTAATTTTAATTATTCTTACATTTGCTTAAATAAAATTGCCGCTTGATCGGTGTATTATAACGTTTTTAGAAATAAAAATAGTGGTTGTTGGTTAAAATTGAAATGAAATGAAACCTGTTCGTTTTATTTCAATTTGCATTTAAAAGTTCGATTGGAAATAAAAGTAGTAGTTTAATTAACTCGGTAAATAATTAAAATTTAAAGTGGTAGTTTACGTAAAAGAATCATTTAGATATAAATTGAGAGTGTATTTCATGTTTTACTGTTTCAATTTACCATTCATTTTATCCCCTGGTTTCGACGCAATATGATCTCAATTAAAATTGGATGCAAAAATCCACAAATTTTTATGTGCATTCATTTATGCATATATATTATTTAAATTGCATTTTTAGAATTTTTTAAACAATAATGTAGCTATTGGAGTATTTTTTCATCCGAAAGCTCTTATTTTAACGTTTTGAGCCAACATAGAAACGAAGAAGCTTATTTAATTGACATTATTTTGTACCAGGACCAATGGTTTTGGTTTAATTCAAGAGTTATTAGCAGAACAAAGCACCGCGCAGTTTCCATATGGCAAATGGCTGTGACTGTAACAAGATAATCTAGGATGAAAAATAAATGATAGGGTTTTAGACAGAAACCATTCGAAAAAAAATTCTCCTGAAAAAATTAACACAACAATATATTAAAAGACAATATATTAAAAGACAATATATTAAAAGACAATATATTAAAAGACAATATATTAAAAGACAATATATTAAAAGACAATATATTAAAAGACAATATATTAAAAGACAATATATTAAAAGACAATATATTAAAAGACAAGATCTCAACTTAATGTCCTCATATCGCCATATATCATTAATGTCCTGCTTCACAAAGACATATGAACGAATGATAAAAGCAAGATTAGATTGGTATTTAGAATATTCTCTAAAATTACCAGATACTCAATATGGATTTCGAAGAGGCAAAGGCACAATTGAAGCAGTCTCTTATTTAGTTACAGATATCCAATGCTCCTTCACAAAAAATGACTACCTAGCTTGTTTGTTTTTATATATCAAAAGTGCCTATGATACAGTGGATCTAAATATATTAGCTAACAAATTGTGTTCACTACAAATTGGCGCAAAAGAATCTGGTAATATTGTTGACATCTTTAGAAATCGCAAGATCTACATTAGAGATCCAAATAATAACTTACATGGGCCTAGATGGATAAGTCAGGGTTTACCTCAGGGTGCGGTACTGAGCCCAATTTTATTCAATATATATACGCAAGATATTCATACTTACTTAGACAAAGACACTAAATGCATACAGTACGCAGATGACTTTTGCTTCTACACTGAACAAGGCTCGTATGACCTATGTATTCGACAACTGAAATATACATTATACTGCCTAAAGAACTGGTTTAGTGAATATCTTCTGAAAAATCAGCAATTGTATTCTTTACAAGACATCGATTAAATACACCGAGGTAGCGTTACTCTATGCGGATATGAAATTCCTATAAAAAAACAATACAAGTATTTAGGCATTGTCTTAGACAACAAACTAATATGGAATAAACACATAGAGCACGCAAAAAATAAATGTGAAAAGGGGATAAACATGTTAAAATGTGTCACGAAAACCAAATGGGGTGCAGATCCTAATACTGCACTCCTATTCTATAAGGCATACATTCGCTCGATCATAGATTACGGGAGCATACTGTATGGTTCGGCAGCATAGTGTCAATTGCGCATAATTGATAAAATTCAATACAACGCTATTAGAATCAGTATTGGGGCAATGAAATCTTCGCCCATACAAGCAATTCTAGTTGAGGCTCAAGAACCCCCTCTCGAACTAAGACGTGTCTACCTGGCCTCAAAAGAAGTTATTAAAATCAAATGTTTTTTTTTCAAGCATCCCTTTTTTAAATAATCTTTACCAACTCGCAGTAGATAACTTAACGGCAGATTATTGGAAATTAAAAAGAGATTCATTATTAGCAGAAGCTTTTGTAAGAGAAAACACCAATCCCGTTACGGGACTAAATATATACCCTATTTACAATCTTAAATTTGATGCTATTATGTTTAAACCAACTATCATATTCCCAAAATATAATGAAATATTTTGCTACAACGAGAAATTGCTTCAATGTATATATATGATGGCTCTAAATCAGAAAAGGGAAATGGTTCTGCTGTTCACGTTTCTGCCCCAAATTATAATTACCTAGGCCAGATACCAAAAATATGTTCTGTGTTTTCTTCAGAAGCTCTTGCTATTGAATCGGCCTTAAAATGGCACCTAGAAAATAAAAGTTCAAAATACGCGGTTATCTTGTCCGATTCTAAATCTGTCCTAGCAGCATTACATAACTTAAATTATTTTAAAATGTATAAATCTACCCATCTATGTAAAATAAAAGAATACTGCTATGCTTTACACTCGGCTAATGTTAATGTAGTATTTGTGTGGGTAAAAGGTCACTGTGGCATTGTTGGGAATTAAATAGTTGATCAATTAGCCAAACAAGCAACACTATCTTCAAATTTTATCAACATTTCCTTCTATGATGATCTAGTCAGCACAATCAAAAACCAAATACGTCTGGACTGGAAGAACTTATGGATATATTTTACATCATCATCCAAAAATCATTACGGTACTATACACCCCTCTTTACCAACAAGAATATCACATTTATCAAATTATAATTTACCCAGAAAACATGCGGTCACCATTAAACGTAAAAAATTAAATCATGGAAGATACCCTGCTCATCTTCACAAAATTGGAATTGCACCATATCCGCTTTGCGAATGCGATAATCTTTCTATATGTGATATGAACCACATTTTATTTTCAAGCACTAAACACTCAATGGAGAGTACAGATTTTATCAAAATATTAATTAATAACCTGATACCGATGCCAACCAACTTAACTGTCTTACTCAGCTTAAAAAACAAAAAGATTTTCGATGTCCTTATTAATATTTTAGATAATATTAGACTTGCCATTTGAAACTTAGTTTTTACTTTTAATAAGTTCTAGGTTTTCTTTTTGGTTCTTTTATAACATTTTATTTTATTTCACCTCAATAATATCTAAACTATTAAAGATTTTACCAAAAGTCTATGGCAAATGGATTATGTCCGATGCCAACCACCCCTTCACACACACACACACACACACAAAAGACACAATTATAAAGTTGTTTCGATGATCACGTCAGTTTTATTTTGAAATACCATGTTAGAGCTTTAATGAAATGAACAATTAAATAATATGGACCAAATATCTGGATGACTACTACCTACACAGTAAAAGTTAGATGATCTGCTATAAAATATCTAATGCTTCAGGCTCACAGTGGCCTATGTAAACCGATATACACATTAATTCTTATTTTGTAGGATATAAAAAGAAAACCTCTTAATGTTAATATCAATTACTCTTTATAAAATGCAGTGTATAAAATATATATTAATGTTGAAAAAGATCGTTAAAATATTACATTGGTTTTGTGCTTTATTAAAAAACCAGTTACATCAATCTATCAAGAAAATAAGGTTGGATGAATTTAGATAATATACAAGTCGTCTTCAGAAAGGCAACAATATGTAGTAAAATATTGTAATTTTTAAACATTGAGTGATAAATAACATTGTTATACTTCAGATACTTTACACTTCACACTTTTAGACTTTTAGACTTTCTTTAAAAAATATATGTCAGCTGATCCTCGTATTTTAGGAATAAAATCGACTAAAGAATTTTAACAAATTGGTCGTTGCCAGACTATTTATGTAAAAATGTCTGACCACCAATATATTAACCACCATTTTTGTATCATTGAAAGTTAAAATAGAACAAAATTCCCTATTGTGTGCCCTCGTAGATTATGCACTATCTATTTTCCCAATCTTGACATATACTTGTATTATTTGCACTATGTTCCCGTGGCGATAACTTTATATTATGTGAATGTTAGTATAACTCTAGATTATTCTGTTATTTATCCTTAGGGTGTAGTATTAAATTTTCGAATGGATAGTTTGACCAGAGATATGAATTTCATACAGTTGGTTTTCACATCCAAATTCTATACATATATATTAAAACAACACAAACTCTCGCAAATGGGATGAAATTTACAATTAATGCTTAAAACCCTTTAATATTAGTTCAACTAATGTATTCAAAATATATGTTTTTGCGAATAAAATAAAAAATATACAGGTATAAAGAAAATCGGACTAATAATAATTTATCAAATATACACACACTTGATAAAAAACAATAAAATTCTATATACATACCTATCCATAAAAAATTAGACAGTTAAAGCTAAATATGTCACAATTGTTCACTTCTCACCGTTGAATTCGATTTCTGTTACTTTATTTATTTAAAATATGACAGTTGCATATCTTTTATATTTGTAAAAATAAAAATAAAACAGAAACTAATATGTTTTTATTAAGGCACTACTAGAATAACTACATAATGTTGAGACCCAAAATTAACATAATGTGAAACATATTAATAATATTTTGCATTATGTCCGTGATATCCAGGTAAACTTTTCTTGGTGTATGAAGAACCTTTGTAGAAAATCAGCAGGATAACCCAAAAGACAAAACCAACTGTACATACATCAGAACATAATTTAAAATAATCAACTCCAGTTGTCCAGAAAATTTCTGACCACGATTTTTTCTCAGTTTTCTCCTTTGGTTTAATAACATCTTTAACATCGATCTGTGAATCGTCTTTTTTGTCTATATCAGGAAACATTTGCATAGCTACGTGAACAGGATCATCATCTGAGTTCATCGACCCATCAGAAGTTTCGTTTTCATCTTTGTCTGCTGTTATCGAAGTTTTATCCTCAGTTTCTGCAGCTTTGTACACTGCGTAACCTTTTTGTGTATCAACTTTCACTTCGTTCAAAACGTCTTGTAACAACTTCTCATCATGATTTTTTAAAGCTTCATTTGTTAAAGCAGCTTTAGAAATTTCTTCGTAAAAATTTTCAGGATTTAATGTTAGTTCTTTGGCTCTTTTTTCTTCTTGAGTGTTAGTATTAACACTCTGAGGACAGTATTTAATATGATTACCTTTAAATATCTCTTTATAGAGATTATCTGGAATAATTTTGATATTTTCTGTTGAAGATTGAGACATTTGATAATCCTCATTATGTGGATCTTCAATGGTATTCTGATTAAAATCATATTTGGATAACGCACCATAAAGATCTTCGCAATTAATTTTAACTTCTTCTGCAGAGCAAAAAGAATCTTGCGATTTTTTTTCATCGTCGTCATTTTTCTCAATATAAATTCTTACACTTTCTTCTTCCGTTTCAGAAAAGCTATTAACATGTTTTCTTGAGAAGATATCAATTTCTTTGTCATCTTTAGTCACATCTATATAAAGAATTGGAGACTTATCCTCAGCATCGTAAATTTTGGGTCTTTGATCGATTTTAACAATAGTAACTTTCTTATCAGACATTTTGAACACTTTAAAAAACAGCAGTGCGACTTCATGAATAAATATCTTACAACTGACGGATATGGTGAAAGCTTTGTAATTATAAAAAATACGTACAGGTCCGTATTAGAGGCAATTAGAGGACTTAAAGTGAAGCACTAAAAATAAATTATGTAGAAGCTCACTAAATGGGTACTCCCACAAATGAGGCATCTAATGACGCATTGACGACGTTATTGTTGTTAGTTAGCAGGACATTGTGGATGACTATCCCCAGACATCTCTCGGCTACTTGTCAACCAGCAGGCTTCTGACGGGCTGAGTGGCAGGTCCTATATGCCGCTAAAGGATCGCTCTAGAATGCGTACCGAAAGAATAGTTCCTTCCAAGCATTTACCATCGGAGTGGTAGAAGACCACCAAAATCCCAGAAATAGGGAATTCAGTTGCGACTTGGCGACGTTATTAGTCTACAGGACTTTGACGAGCTGAAAAGGCTGGCTACAAGTTAAACATCTCCAGTGGAAACGTATGGAAAGAGAAACCAGATAAACTTTTATTAAAGAGTTTCATTGAATTATATAGATGGTTCCAGAATACTTCCTGTTTTCCTAAATAGAAAACTTTATTTGATTAGTTGAATAGGAACCCAGTTACGGTATCTACTCGCTGGATCTGACTGTAAAGACGCAATACAAAAAATGTACATATGAGAAACGTTCATTACACCAGATCACTACACAATGCAAAGTATTGAGTGTTGTATCATATTTCCAAATGTAAAGAATGATTATTTTACTCTGTCGGTAAAGTTACGGTCAGATCACGGTCATGTATGCCATGAAGCCTACAACTTCTGGCTTAGTTGCATATCACAGCCTTCAGGAGCCATATTAATATGAGTGAGGTATAACGTGATATGTATCGTCTTTCGGCAAAGACGTATAGCCATAGTCCATGAGTAATGGGCTCGTAAAAGAGACCTACCTCTGATTGGAACATCAAATTTGCCACGTGTACAGGAAAATCTTTTAAAAAGATAATTCAACCATCAAAGATAGTCAGGCAGCTTCACTCGCGCTGGCATCTCTCAGAATAACTTTGCAAACTTTCTTAGACTGACTTAACGCTTTATTACTCTTAGGATGAAGAAATCATCTAAAGTTAGTCTGGGTAGCTAGAAATAGAAGAAACTTTCTCTAGGTTACGTCATAAGTTTTATTAATATACGGACCAGAGAAATATCATTGGAAGAATTGTCTTACAGAACATGCCACTCCATGCTTATTAAGGGGTATTATGCAACGAAACTTCAGTCGATAACAAAGTTAGACAGAAATAGTACCTAAACAGATAGACATCTAAACAAACACTTGAAAACCATTGGTATGACCACCACTGAAAGGTGTCAAGCATACAGTGAATGTCACAAACTCTTTTTCATTGCAAATATCTAACGTTAAAGAGGCATAGATTTAGATTTAATTAGTATTGTGGGCCATGTGGCCCCTACCTCAACCTTTTCAGATCTATTGTGGATATCCTTTAATCGTTGTTTAGCGTACCTTATCTATTTCGCTCTTTTGTAATAGACTCCATAGACTGGGAAGTAGTTTTCCGGTATAGCTAGTTGTCCTTGCTTTTTGTTTCTCCAAGTGTAAGGAATCTCAGTCTTGCTAGACCTTTGCAGTAGCATAATTCGTGTTCTGCCGTTTTCTCCTCTTCATGACAGAATCGGCACAAGGTCTCTTCTGTCAGACCGATATTATACATATCTTTGTTAAGCTTACAATGCCCTGTTAATAGATCTACTAGTATTCTAGTATTTTTCCTATTAAGGCTTAGTAGATGCTCGGTGAGTTTAGGTGATGGTCCTTTAAAGTCTCTGTCCTGATGAGTTTTTCCACCACTCCTAAGATTTTTTGAACATCCACTGCTTAGTGCATGTTTTGATAGTGTTTTTGTTACACCACAGAAGGGTTCTGAGCCAATAAGAGCATTTGAGGCTCCTTCTCAGCTAGTAAATCAGCCTCTTCATTATCCTTATGTCCTTTGTGGCCTGGTATCCATGCTAAGGCTAGTCTGTTTTGACTATCCAGCTCTGTTAAGGCTTTCAAACAGTCCCACACAACCTTTGAGTGTACCTGCATGGAACTGAGTGCCTTTAACGTCGCTTGACTGTCTGACTATATTACAATGGTTTTTCCATTTACCTCTTTTGCGCAGTGATGTATTGCTGCTATTTCTGCCTGGAATACTATTGTATGTTTTCCTAAGCTCAGTGAGAGTCTTGTCTTTGGCTTAGTAAAGAGGTAAAGAGGTATAAGTACTTGGATATATATTTACTAATATGCTTGAATATGAGATGTTAAGACTTAATTGCTGTAGTTAAACCGCGGCACTTGAACACTCCAGAGGTTGATACGGCAAAACAAAATCAAAAATCCTGTCATTTAAGGCTGTATAAATGTTTATTTAATAGTAGAGTACGGACCTGTAATGGTATTTATCATTCGGTTGATATAATAATTCAGCAGAACTTTATCTTGTACATTAAGTGAAATGGTAACCAGAAATCAAACAAAACGTTTTTATCTTCCGTTTGTACTATGCATCGACTGCAATAATCGTACCTATATATTTATCAACTCGTAATACATTATTAGATTTATATTCGCTAGTAAAATTTTATTGTTTTTATTATTGGTGTTTATATTCGATCAAATAATACATAAGAGATAAATGGGACAATAAAATAGTTTAGTTCTGATAAAAAGCATCCATAGTTTTAAGTCCAGGAAAAAGAGCTGATAAAATATTTGCAATATCTACCGGTAAAAAATGTATTAAATAAATATGTTATTCTTGGAATTATTTGCAGGAGATTTAAAGCTCTTTCCTCTTTGTCGATTAAATAAAAGAACTGCAGTGAGATATGTATCTAGTTGGCTCTAAACTCTAACCACTATACGTCCAGCTGCACATTCTAGCAATATTTACAGATTCGGATAAAATATATTTACAATATTATGTATATATGAGAGCAGAAGAAAACGCCACATATCTTACACATTACAATTTCTCCTTTAATATTGGCTAATATATTAAAGTAGAGGTATATCGCCAGCTGAACATCGTGCTTCGCTATTCTGTTATCTCTTACTTTTTCGTTTTGGTATACACTGTATAAATTTTTTTCAGATCTCAATATTCTAAAGGTAAAGGAAAAAAGTTTTAACATGTATTATAACTTAAAATTAAATATTTCTATTTGATTATGCATAAAATAATTTAATATTCATAGACAACTTCATCTAAGAGTTAAATTTCCAGAATTAAACCAATTTTCTTTTCACTTAAGGGTTAAGTGCCAGTAAAAGTTCGCTTCTTCATATTATCAACATTACTATATGCAGAAACATATTTAATATAATTTTACTGAATGTTAATTATTTTGTTCTTTCATAACTAAATGTCTTTTCATGCTTTATATATTTAACCATTTAGACAGACTTGCTATTTCAATTAAACAGTTCATAACTAACAAGAATAAGACGGTTGCATCAAAATTAGAAACATGTTTTCAAAATACATTATTTTGAAATAAAATTAAACTGCTGTAATTTTAATATTACAAATTTCAAGAGTTTATGTAATATGGAACAACTTGAAATTAGGCTATTACTTCCAATGAAATTGCGAAAGAAATTCAGACAAACATCAACCCACAGAAAGCCCCAGGATACAACCTTATTACTGGAGAAATATTACTAAACTACAAGGAAGGCTATGGTTAAATTGACATAACTCATAAATGCAGCATTTTGCCTTGAATATATACCAGATGCGTGGAAAATGATTGAAGTTATTCTAATTCCTAAGCCAAGAAAACCTCCAAATAATATCCAATAATATCTAAGCTATTTGAAAAGCTACTACTAAAACGACTAAAACCAATAATTGAAAATAAAAACCTGATCTCTTCTTAACAATTTGGTTTTAGAAACAAACACTATACAATAGTACACAGGATAGCCGATATCATCGCATACGAAGTAAAATGTATATTCCTTGACATAGCCCAAGCATTTGACAAGGTTTGGCACGCTGGCCTGATGAAGAATCTCGTGAAAATGCAATATGTCGACATTTTTCAATCATATTCATCAGAAAGAATGTTTATATTGAAGCAAGAGGAAGCATTTATATTATATTCCGAAATAAAAGAAATTAAAGTAGATGTCCCATAGGGCAGTGAAATAGGATCGGTTCTTTACTTATTATATACCAACAATATTAAAAAAAATGGCTCCTAGTAAGAAAATCCAAGTTGTCAGTGTATAACAAACTGCTCATTTATAAACAAATCCTAAAACCAGTCTGGATTTATGGCATACAGCTACGGGGATATTCCAGCAAGAGTAGTATCAACATGATATAAGTTTTCCAAAACATAAATTTCGCCTTTTTTTAAAATTTGAAATCTGTCTTAAGAGCAATCCAGTCCCTTCTGACGTCACACCGCACGAATCTCACGACCTCCCCTTAAAGTATTTGGAACCTTGTTCGCTACATAAATTTGGCAATGTTGTGTGTCATACGCTGAAGGATAATCATATTGGGTAGGGTCCGATTACAATTCAGGTATAATTCGTTGGCTATCGCCGTAGGTTAGCGGCTTGTTAATATACGAATGTAGGAATACTATTTTTAAACCAAACAACTCAAATATTTTTTATTTATTGATAGTTATAGATGCTATACAGGGTGTCCCGAAATTAGACGGTCATATTTTAACAGCGTAATCTACATCCTAAAATAGTAGTAAAAGTTCATATAAACATAGGTGCGAAAACTTTTCTCTTTTCCGAGATACAGGGTGTTAAAGGTGAAGTCCTGATACCACACTTTTGTAAATATTTTCTAAACGTTTAAAGATAATTAGGTAAAATTTGTTACAAATACTTATCTTTTTACGCTTCATTTATTGGACTAAACCCCAGTTATTGATAATCTTCTTAGGTGGGTAAATTAGGGGGAGCTTAGGGTAAAATTGCCGTGTGTGTCTGTGTGTCTATATTCACCATAACTCATGAACCGATACACAGAAAAACACTAAATTTTAAACTTAAGTTTTATTT